AGAGAATTGTGTTTCGTGGATTTGGGGAAAAACCCAGCACAATTTTGGAGGATGAAGCAAGGCCCAGATTTTCCATCTATATCGAGCAAAAAAAGAAAGGCTTAAAAAACCTTATGGAACAATTTATTTGTGGTTCAGTGAGTTAACTAACTGAATTGAAGGAGGAAGAAGAAAGAGTGCGGGCACTGTGGGAGGTGGAATATGGAAGTGAGGATTGTACTCAGGGAAGTGGGCCAAAAAGGGTCGGGTCCTAATCAAATGCGGGTCCAAACTCTTATTAGGAGTGCATTTTTGGTCATGGTGAAAAATGCAAAAATAATTCTATTTGTACATCAAAAAATGTACATAAGGATGTACATTCCCTCACATGGGGGTGGGACACACTTGTATGATGTGAGGGGGTAGGATCCACTTGTACACACCCCTATGTACATGGTGATGTACCATTAGCAAAATCGAAAATGTAAATAGAAAATATCTCGGATATGGATCGAACTAGCTCACCACATTCTGAGCCTAATAACGAATAGAAGGATCGGATTCTTTCATGCATCCTTCATTTGGCTTTGGGATATAGCTTAGTTGTTAAATTCATGTCATTTACAACTTCAATAAATGTATTATCCAATTTTCAGAATATATTGCAGCCAATGACAGAGTTATATAGAGTCAAATAAACAGAAGAATGATATGACTACTTCGTGCAAGTTCCACTTAGCTTGAAAATTTAACTCGGTAAATGCAACTCGTTTACTATTTTAATGGATGAACAATCTTGCTCGGTTGAACTACGTGGGATCATGTGGAAGCACTAATTCAATGGATTTTTCCAAAATTCAAATTTTCACGAGATAACGTATTCAATTTTTATATAAAATTGACAGATGAACAAGTTTCATAAATGATTAACTGACTTCAATATGTTTAACTATGTCTAAAGTTTTGAACTGTCAAAATTGAAATATGCCTTAATTTTAGCTTCATTTTTTCGTATAATATTAACAAACATTAACAAGTCATTGACTTGCCTTGCACGGAGTCTTGATTAAGAATTAAAATGAAAGGACTCCATCTGTAGTTTTTAAATTAACAATTTGTTCAAATAAATTAATAATTTTTAGAACTCTACTGCGGGTTATTGATCTAGAAAGAAGTCTAAGAACTAAGAAATTCTTGTTATGGAAAGAAAGTGGATCGGCAGGTGGTTTTGAGATTCAAATGGCATTTAAAAGAATAACAATATTCATAGAATGAAGATTATCGATAGTTGTCCTACGTAGCATATATGTGACAATGCATAAATATGGTAATTTTTTATTATCTTATGCATCAAATAACATGAAAAATAAATGTAAAAAATAAATTTATTGAATTTTACTTACTAGTCAATAAAAATTAGAGAAATAGACTCCAAAATTTCACACAATATCGATTAGGACTCAAGTTGATTGTGCAACGAGAGTCAAGTTCAGAATCAAAATTGGTCAAGGGGAAGATTTATAATTATTTTTAATTCATGTTTCTCTCTCTTTTTATCAACCACGCATTCTCTCAATAAAATAATATTACATATAAATTCAAAAATTATCTTTACTTTTTAACCACGCATTCTTAATAAAATATTATTCCAAAATCAATTTTTTTCAAATAATGGAACTCAAACGAGGACTATATAATTGTTACTTAAATAAGAAGTTATTTCTCTAATAGAGGGAGATGAATTGACTATTTGACTATCTCATTGTTCCATAAGTCGTCAAAAATATGCTTTATTTGATAATGAAAAGAAATGCTATACTAGTTAGAAAAAAAATGTACTACAACATAGTCCATGTTTGACATCCATTTTTTCTCATTCTTATTTTGTTCTCTTTCTTCATTTCAACCACACATTCTATCAATAAAATAATACTATACATAAATCCAAAAATTCTTATTGTTTTTTAACCACACATTCTTCCATCAATCACTATTCCAGAATTTATTTTTTCTCCAAAATTAGTGTCAAACAAGGGTAATATTATTTGTGTTAACCTCAATTTCTAACACGTGACGTGGTCAACAGATTTCTACTTCACTCACTTCTAAAGGTATAGCTCCTATACAATTGGACAAATTATTTGAAGCACGTGACCTTCTCAGACAATGGGATGGATAAGAGAGAAATATTTAATGCGTGTGCAATAAAGTTATTTTAAATTTCAACCACACATCACCAATAAAATATTCTACAAACAAATCAATAAAGTTACTTTAAATTTCGACAACACATTCTTCAAAAAATACTATTCATTATTCTAATTTTCTCCCAATAATGGGAAACAAACACACCCTAAATTGGACTCAAAATTTAGCAACCTAAAATTACTTCACCATCTCCACCTTTTGCTTCAATTGGAGAATATACCAGAGTAGATTCAAGTTAAACATTACTGATCCAATAAAATTAGCACAAGGCGCATTCAACATCCTTTTTAATTTCTTCTTCAGTTTTAACTACTTTTCCAATATTGCATTCCTAATTTTGTTTCAAATTCTGAATTTAACTTCTCTTCAATAGATTTGAGTGTAATAGAATTATGTCCAACTAAACGGATATCATAATCATAAACATATAAAAGTAAATATAAAATATAAGATTTTTCATCCTTTCTATAATAGAAACATGGATCATAATCACTTTTTTTGAAATCTTGACCTTAAACATAAGACTCAAATTTCGTATACCAATTTATTTGTGTCTGTTTTAATCCATACAAAGATTTTTCTGTAATAAACGCATTAACTCATTTTTCTTTACTTTCAAAACCTTTAGAGTCCGTTTGATTGCAATAATGAAATTTGGATGGAAAAAAAATGAATTTCAGGGAATTGAATTGCCTATAACTTCTTTTACGGAGAATTGTCAATTAATTGTATTTGATTCGTATAATTTTTCACCTGAAAAATATTGAAATTTTGAATCTTTTAATATTCGTTTGACTTTATATTTCATGGAAATTGTTAATTAAAGGGATATAATTTGTTACAATTGAGGCTAAAATTTGTTTCGATTACCAAAAAAAAAAAATGGAAAAAGTTGCTTAGAAAAAGCTTTTCCCACCAAAGTGGTGGGAAAATCTTTTTCCTCAAAAATCAAGAAAAATGACCAAAAAGGGGGTTGAGTGGAAAATCATTTGCCAAGAAAATTTTACCTATCAAACAAGCAAAAATAATCAATTCCTAATTCCATGGAAAAGAAATAATATCAAACAGGACCTTAGATTAAGTCATCTATATAGTATAATATAAAGAAGCATATAAGAATGTTGTATTCACATCAAATTGTTTCACTTCTAAATCAAATTGAGTTAGCAAAGCAAGCAGGATTCCAATTGAAGTATATTTTATCACAAGTGAAAACATCATCTCTTCTTGCATTGCTAAAAGCCACTTAATAGTCTTTACTAGAGATACCATGTTCACAAGAATCATATTGTATAATAAGTGGATTAATCTCTAGCTATACAGCCACATAATCTACATCATGATACCTGACAAGAGGTCTTGGTTGTCTTCTTTCGCTATTTCTAGTAAATTCGTAATCTTGAAGCCCATGAACATGACCTATATCTTGTTCATTTGCCATTACACCATCATCAGATATAATCTGGGATTCTGTATGTGGCTGCTTATCTTAAACTGTGTTTGGTCTAATAGGTTTTGTTTGGTTTGATCGTTTAAATTTATTTCTGTTACTATAAATCTTTTTTATCTAGTTTTACCCTTATTTTGTCACTAAGAGCAGGAAAGACTCCTTTATTAAAAATAACAGACCTATTGATCATAACCTTAAAGCCTCTAAACTCCTCGTCGACAATGTATAGCCATTTATCCCTTCTCCACATCATAGAAAAACACACTTTATGGACTTGGGATCTAATTTTGACTTGGTTTGATGTCAATATGCAATATATGCGAAAGTCTCAGGTGGATGTAATCAGGAGCCAATCCTGTCCACGCCCCTGTTTGGGCTCCATTTTAATGTGATTTTGGGAGAAAAAATAGTGATTTTTTAGAAAATGAATTGTTAAAAGATTTAAAAAAAATTTGGATTTACGTGTAATATTATTTTATGAAAAAATTTGTGGTTGAAAAAGAAATTTGAAAAAATATATTTTTGTAAAAATGGAGCCCAAACAGGGGCCAGATTTTTTTCTAGTATTTTATATTCCATGGAACTTGAAGGACTCCTATAAATCGAATAAAAAGGTTGTTTTCACAGTTTCTCTCCAAAATAGTTTTAGTCAATCAGAGTTAATTAGCATATATACAGTTCTCTCCAAGATACTCATATTCATTCTTTCTACAGTATTATTCTATTGGGAGTATATGTAACTGTTTTGTTCCTTAAAATACCATTTTTGCTACAATATTGATCAAATTCAGTATTGTAGAACTTAAATCCAATGTCAATTCTAAGTACCTTTATTTTCTTATCAGCCTGATTTTCTATTAATGTTTTCCAATATCCGTAGGTTATTAAAATATATGATTTTGATTTTAATGCGATAATCCATACTTCCTTGAAAAAATCATCAATAGTAAGAGGATATAGCATTCACATCCTGTTGCAATAGTAACTAGGGATGAACGCGGTTCGATTTGGACAGTTTGTACCGTATTTTCAACTCAAACCATTTCACACGATTTGAAATTTATACAAATCAAATCAAACTATTTTATTTTTCGAATCAAACCAAACCATTATTTGCAATTTGGTTTGATTTTAATTCGCAGTTTACCCATCGACATTATGGTAATATATTTAAAATA